AAAATGCATTTGTGATGACAAGAACACATTTACACCTAGACATTCCATAGGTGGCTCACTTCCCAGATGTACTTTGCACTTAATGGAGTCCTTGATGTATATCAAAACGCCCCCTCCTCTCCCAGTGGTTCTCCCTCTTTAAAAAATTTGTATCCAGGAACATCAATCATATTCATTAAAATGTTACTATGAAGCTAGGTTTCTGTAAGACATAAAAAAATCTATACTTGACCCAACAAGCAATGATCTAATCCCATCACTCTTTGGGACCAAACTTCTTATTTTCAGATGTCCTCCAAATATGCCTTTTGGTTTTACTTTGGGATTCCAGACCACTTTAGCGCGATTGACCATTTCGAAAAAGTAACGTTTGCCTCTTTTGATATAGCAGTGTTCTTCAACCATGACAACCATACTGTCAATCCTCAGCCAATCAATACTGTTTACGCTACTTCAGTATTGGGAGAGAACGGGTTTGGGCAAAGTGGGATGGACAGGCTGGGTTTTTTGTAAAACAACATTGCAGTGAAAGTTTTTCATTGTAGCTCTACGTATCTTTTTAACCATTCACTTTCTAATGAGCTATGAATATGTGAGCCCTTAAGCACTGGTTTTAGGTCAAGTTATGTTGTATTAACCAAGTTTGTTTAGAATTTGTTAAACCTACTGGTAGCAATACTTTACCCTAGGCACGTATTCTCTTATCAGATTGGAAGATATTCGACATGAAGATTCGTAGAGGACCCAGGTATCATCATGCCCAGGTGATAGTGAAGTGGTGTGAATGTTTACAGGGAAACTATATTATCATAATGTAGGCTACACCAAAAGGTAGCCTTTTATTTAGCAGACAGTTGTTTTTCGATATTTAAAAAAAAAAAAAAGGTTTGTATTATATGCCTATGACAAATAAAATAAGCAGTATTGAGGGCCTAAAAAAAAACAGTGCAACTGTCACCTGACCTCATCGAATTAATGGCGTCACACCCACCCAGCCAGCCAGTATCGGTGTGAACGAAACTAGGGATATTTGTGTGCCACAGTGGCACGATGACCACGAGAAGCGGGAAGAGACTCGAATATATCCAGATATATCAGCCTGTATCACGTAACGCATGAAAACACTCGCGACCTACTCTATCTATAAACCTACACTATGAGATATTCTGTGTTCACTATTCCATCTACAAAATGCTCAGGGTAGGCTGCTTTAGCCTATCGACTCCTATATGCGGCTTATAGGCTTCATGTCAATATCCACACAATTACAGCGGAGGACAAGACTGCTGCCAACGCACCACAACGCCACAGGTGTCCCCTATCAGTGCTTATCCCAAATGAACGTTCGCTCTCCAAAACGCTGATCAGCGAAATGCAGAGATGCTATTTAATACGAACGATTCAACAATTCCCTTTGGCGTTCCTTTACTGACCCCGACCGACGCCAATAACAAATAGACAGCAGCCTAAGCAAATAATAAGTAGGCTACCCCAGTATCTGTGCGTTAGAGATGGCTATGACGTGTGGCCTATCGTTGACGTCTCTAACGCAGATACTGGGGAAAATAAGTAGCGTAGCTGTATGCAGTCGCGTTGTTATACCCTACCTGCTAGAATGGAGGAAGGTCCAGGCGAGATATCAGAATCTCCGTCTCAAGTACCCTTTTGATTATCGAGAGACGCGTGTGCTCACTCGCGGTGTTGTAGCCTAGAATATGATGTTTCACTATAGACATAGACAAATTTCTGCTGCTAGTACTAATACTACCACCACTACTAAAGCAACCTGTTGCCAGTAGGCTACGTCAGATAACTATCGTCCCGCCCTCGAAACAATCCGATTGGCGCAGTATACCGGGGAAGGCGGCACCTATTGAATGTACGGTCTTTTTGATATTGGCGGGACAGTGCTGCCAATCAAGGGTCTATCTATTACGATTATTTAAAGCCTATTTGCGCTCCATGGCTCCATTTGCTATAGGCTACACGAGTACATTAATCCGGTTTATTTGTATTAGACTAAAGTACCGTTTAAGGCTATTCTCAAATAGTCTAGAGATAAATGATCATTTATTGAGCACAATGAATATTGTAATTAAATATTATCACAGTTGAGTACTACAGGAGAAATCTGGCAGTAGCCTAACATGCATGTTTACACTACAAAATTATATAAGGTCGCAGTTCCCGTGACCATATAAAATATGGATTTGCAGACCTACTTTCCTGGGAAATGTATCATATTGTTTGACTAATGGATTGAGGTGATTTTTTCATTAATGCAACTAAGGATCCATTTAGTTTTTGGTCATATAGTAGGTTGGAGTGCAGTTTCTCCTGGCCCATAGACAGACTACTTTTTATCTTTAACATTACATTTCTTCATAGCTCGCTGCTCGCCTATTACCAAAAACAAGTTCTGTTGGATTGTTATGTATCACTGGAAAGTCTTGATGAACTCAACAATACATTTCCACAGAGCAGAACAAAATTCTGTTTCTCAGACATCAAGAGTGCATTTAGATTGATATAATCCCCATGATAGACACTGAAGGATGGAAATAGCATAATGGTTATCAATGGTCATGTGAGGGTTGGTCAGCACCGTTCAGGGTTTGGGTTTAAAAAAAAAAGAAATTCACTCAAATCACTCTCGGAAATCCCAGACCAAGGGCAGCAGCACTATGTGTACTGTATGTCAGAACATTGTGGGAGGCAACCCGTCTGCCTAGGGCTGGGTTCCCGTCCTGGACATTTTATTTGCAGAAAACATTTTTAATTTTTTATTGTTGGACATAAGACTGTAAGGAAAACATTAATTTTTTAATTCAGGAAATCTGTTCCAAAGTATTCCCACGCATATGAGAGAGATATTTGATCGTATACAAATGTAAGTAAGGTTTGAAATGATTATGTTTTAGTCAAATATTACATCGGTTTGGGCTTCATTCGGTCAATTTGCAGTCTACTAATTATTTGTAATTATGTTCCGGCCCCCCGACCATCCATCCGCTCAATAAAAAATGTTCAGGCTGTAGCTGAATCTAGTTGATGATCCCTGGCCAAGGGAGACTACTCAATTTAGGAAATAAACTGAAATTCCAATTCCAACTTTCTCTCACACAGATAAATCAAGGAAAATTGGAATTTCAGTTTACTTCCTGAATTGACTAATTTGAAAAGGAAATGACTCAACCCTGGTACTGGCGTTAGACAATTTGAAGTAACTAGGGTAGCAACATATCTGTTTTAGCAGGTTTAGCGTATCCCCATGTTTAATACAACAAAAGCCACAAATAAAAAGATTTGACAAGGGCGAGTACAAAAACAATTCTCTTTACTTCTTCAGAGTTCAGTACCTTCCCCACTCTGTGGGCTGCTGGTCAGTCCCTCAGGTTCCCACCAGAGGACGCCTGAGTAGAGCACATTATTACACAGCACAGATATCCGTACAAAAAACGTGAATGGGTGAGAAAAAGGCAACTTGGACAGAATGTTTTTGTTTTTTTTAAGAAGGAAAATTACAAACACCTGACATGACAATAATATGAAAATTGATATTTTTCGCTCTGTTTTTTGGTCTACTTCGAGGCCTCTAGCAGAGACCAAATTACAAATAAAAACAGATTGGACAAGTTAATGCATTTGTTCACATGCAATCCCAAAAGACTAGTACACACATCGGATATGACCATGATGTCACTACTTGTAGATATGCCAACACCACTGATATCACAACTTCTGTGTCCAGTGAAGAAGAAATATAAAAATGGTTGATTCAATGTATAAAAACAAAAAGTCCATTGACATAACATAATTAAAAAAATGTGTTCATTGGTTGATTCTCCTGCATTCCAAGATGGACAGAGGCGTGTTTTGGGCAAATGTTCAGGCTGTATATCTACACATTTTTCTGTGGCGCCATTCATTCTCACTCTGGAGGTGTGGGTGGGAGGAGAGTCTAGTACATTGAGGAGGAGTGGCCTGGGTCTCCTTTGGATTCATCTGCTCTGGGTCAGAACCAGGTATGTGTGTGTGTGTGTGTGTAAGGTGACCACACTCCCACCAGGGGTCAGTCAGTCAGTGTGAGGGGTCTGTGTTGGTCAGTCACAAAGTATGAGGTAGTGTGTTGGTGTCAGTGCTTTGCTTGTCGGCAGGCCGGATGTCTGGGGGGTTAATGTGGAGTGGACATTCGTCATGTAGGGAGAAATCAGTTGTTCAGTCCAAAAGAGTCACTAAAAGTGCTTCATGTACTCACTGGCCAGTTTATTAGGTACACACATCTAGTACCGGGTCGGACACAACTTTGCTTCCAGAACAGCCTGAATGTTCCATGCAATGTTTTTCCACTCCTCAATTGTCCAGTGTTGGTGATCGCGTGCCCACTGAAGCTGCTTCTTTTTGTTTTTAGCTGATAGGAGTGGAACCTGGTGTGGTCATCTGCTGCAATAGCCCATCCTTGACAAGGTTCGGTGAGTTTTGCGTTCCGAGATGCCGTTCTGCACTTCACTGTTGTACTGCGCCGTTATTTGTCTGTTTGTGGCCCGCCTGATAGCTTGCACAATTCTGGATGGTTTTTTGTTTGTCGCACCATTCTCTGTAAACCTTACACACTGTTGTGCGTGAAAAGCCCAGGAGGGCGTCTGTTTCTGAGATACTGGATCCGGCGCGCCTGGCACCGACGATCATACCGCGCTCAAAGTCGCTTGCCTATTCTAACGTTCAATCGAACAGTAACTGAATGCCTCGATGCCTGTCTGACTGCTTTACATAGCAAGCCACGGCCATGTGACTCACTGTCTGTAGAAGCGATCCATTTTCGTGAAAGGGGCCTAATAACTAATAAACTGGCCAGTGAGTGTAAGTGTGTTTATGTATGTAAAAGAGAGATTTGGGCATTGTAAACGGCTTATCAGATAAGTTTGAGTGAGAGAGATCAGAGCAGTCAATGTCTCTTCCCCTGCACCCCTCCCAGTCTCTCCTCCTCCGCCTCCCATTCCTCAGCCTTCGTTGGCAGCCACCAGCTGGCCCAGGCCCTGGCGGACGTACACAGCCTGGATCTCCTTGGTTTTGAGGCAGAAGTCGCAGGCCCAGACGGCAGAGCTCTCCCGGGTCAGCAGCCCGTAGGCCGGCTCAGTCAGACCCGTGCAGTCACGGTGGAACCAGCGCTGACACGAAGCCTCACACAAGATGGCATCCTGGTCGTCGTGCACCTCCGACAGGCAGAAACCGCAGGGGAACACCATGCCTGGGCCCCCCAGCTTTCCTGGACCGGCGCCTGGGCCCGTGGAGGTGTTGGCCGGGCCGGGGGGCAGCGGAGACTGGGTGTTGGGGGTGGAGTTGGAAGGGGGGTTAAGGGTTGCTGCCGGGGGTGTTGCCCCCACTGTTGTTGGTCATGTTGTTCTGGGCAGAATTGGAGGGAGCATTGGGCATGGGGCCTCCACCAGGAGCGTTGTTCTGCTGGTTGTAAGGGGTGGAGCCGGGGGCAGAATTGGGCAGAGTAGACTGCTGCTGGGACGGGTTATTGGAAGAGGGGGTGTTGGCAGAATTGGGCCCCTGCAGCTGATTGGGCAGCAGCTGCTGAGGCTGGGATCCGTTGAGGGGGCCGGTGGGGGAGGAGTTAGGGTTGGGCTGGGGCGGTGCTGAGGGGGGCTGTCCGGGTGTGTTGGGGTTGGGATGCTGGTCAGGGTGGCCAGGGAAGCCTCCTCCAGGCTGGGGAGGGCCAGAGTTGGGAGGCCCGGGGGGAGTGTTGTTGGGACCCGGGGGACCAGAGGAGTTTAAGTTAGGCTGCTGCTGCTGAGGAGGCCCAGACTGGGGCCCACCGCCGCCAAAGTTCTTCCCCTCCTCGTTTCCTGGGCCCGGGGGGCTGGGGCCTGGGTAGGGCCCATCTTGTGAAGGAGGGAACTGTCCTTGAGGGGGTAGACCTGGCATCCCTCCCATGTTTCCTCCTGGGCCACCTCCCATGCCCCCCATCATGTTCATCCCTCCAGGCATGCCCCCCATGGGGTTCATGGGGCCATGGAGGGGTCCCCTGGGGCCTCCGCCACCGGTCAAAGGGGGGCTGTTGAAGGGGTGCCCACCCTGTCCGTGCTGTTGCTGCGGGGGTATCCCAAACCGAGGGTGCGGTGGCCCCCCTCCTCCAGGACCCCCCATACCACCAGGGGACAGCATGGGGTTGAACGCCGGTCCAGGGTGCATGGGCGGACTGAAATTGGGGGGCATGTTAAATTGCGACGGACCTCCAGGTCCCGGGAAACCTCCTCCGCCACCTCCACCCCCGAAGCCAGGCATCCCCCCAAAGCCCAGCTGGTGGTGCGGACCTGCGTTGGGTGGTCCTGGGCCAAAGGGCGGTCTCCGTCCTGGACCTCCAACGGGTCCTCCGGGACCCCCCATGAAGCCCATGCCCCCGGGGCCCATCCTGCCTCCACCCCCATACGGCACTCCTCCTCCACCTGCCCCGGGGCTGGGGATGAAGGGACCCCCTCCTGGACCTCCAGCCCCACCGGGTCGGGACGGCAGTGATGGGGGGCCAAAGTCATCGTCAAAAGGGTTGGAGGCAACCAGGTGGTCCACCATGGGGGTGGGAGGGGGTGCAAACTCAGAGAGGTGGGAGAACGCGCCACCAGGGCCCTGAAACACACGATGAGTAGAGGCAAGAGATAATGGATTATTGAGATTGAACGAGGTGAGTTTGGTAAGAGCAGAGAAGCTACAGGTAGTATAGAATGGTTGAATAGTAAACTAGTGAAACCACTGATCGATGTAACAAGTCGTCAACTATGTTACCACTAAAATGTTAACTTGATGAGTTTGGATCATGTTTAAATGTGTAACCATCATAACAAGACCAGCACAAGAAAAAATGAACACAACGAGTAAAACCTTCCCAGACGAGGCCACCAGTCAAAGACGGTGAACATGTTTACATTATGGAGGAATGTCTTCAGATCAGAATCGCCAAGGCAGTCGTTACCTGAGCATTGGATTTCCTCTTCTTCTTCTCTGGGCTCTTCATCTGTCCACCTAAAGCGTGGAAGGAGAACAGGAGAGATAAGAGGGACATTCTAGCAGTATCTTTCCGGTTTACAGATGAACATACACATTGTCTATTTTTCTACCAACATCTAATCCTCATTCCCTAAGAAATGCTTTTTGTGAGGGTGGGTTTGGAGTAAGTAGTGTGAAGATTAACCATGTTGACACTGCAATAGATACACATGTACAGTCTTGCATTGTAAGACAGAACCCAGATCTACAAATCAAAGTCCAGAAACAAGGAGTGGACAGAGACAACATTCCTGACCACAGTCACCCAAGCCACAGACTGTTCACTCGGCTACCTTCGGACAGACGGAGTCAGTACAGGTGCATCAGAGCAAAGACAGAGAGAATAAAAACAGCTTCTATTACCAGGCCATCAGACTGTTGAACAGCCATCACTAGCCATCTACCAGGTGATGCACACTCACACCTCATACTCACAAACACACACAGCCAACGCTGCTGTCCCATGTTATAGAGACATGTTGTTGTCATATGGTGTTGCTACCATGCTGTGTTGTCATGTGTTGCTGCCATGCTATGTTGTTGTCTTAGGTCTCTCTTTATGCAGTGTTGTGGTGTCTCTTGTGGTGTTGTGTGTTTTGTCCTATATTTTTAATCCCAGCCCCCGTCCCCGCAGGCGGCATTTTGGTAGGCCATCATTGTTAATAAGAATTTGTTCTTAACTGACTTGCCTAGTTAAAGGTTCAATAAAATAAAAATAAATAAAACCACTTGACACTTTCTGTTTCACACTGTGTATTTACATACTGGATTCTCAACATAGTTCATTCTAATACTTCTACTACTGTACATTGCATTTTAGTTACACTGTTTATACCGACCTCATATTTATTTATATACTGGATTATTGACATAGCTCATTCTAATATACAGTATATACTGCTGTACATACCATTCTTAGTATCTCTTGTGTAAATCCATCCAGTGTAAATATGTATAGATTGCTAGAAACATAAGCATTTCGCGTCACCCGCGACCAATAAACTTTTATTTGATTTCAGTGTTGAATAACCAAGCAGAGAGAGAGAGGCAATGGCAGGTTTGGTTGATTATGAGACACAGAGAGGAAAATAATGGACACATCATGAGAACGTAGAAATTAAGTTAACACCAGGCCATTTACCAGAACGCAAGACATGCGAGTAACAGGACATAAACTATGTGACAGAACAACTGACTACAGTCCTGTAGACACTTGCATTTGTAGAGGTGGTAACTAATGGTTAGTTCTGATCTGAGACTGACGGGATGGATGAATGGATAAATGATCATATGCCTACCTTTGCCTCGCTTTCCTTGGCCTTGTCCCGCCAGGAGTCTCCCCGATTCGGCAGCCATTAATATGACTGTCCGTGCAGTGCAATGTCACCGTTCATATCATGTAAGAAAAATGTAAAATGAAGAATAGTCTTGAGAATTTGGACCAGATCAATACTAGCAAGTGGAGTCATAAACAGTCTTTGGACTTGAGGACAGTTTCTATCGATAGATAAGTAATGTGTGTCTTCCCTTGCAATTACAGCTGGATATCTTGTTCCCCACGCTTTGACTGTCACGGGGTTTGCTGGCCAGCACACTTGCTCAAAAACTGTGGCTAGCCAGGGTTAATTTCAGCAGTCAGCTTGCACAAGATGAAGAGCCGGGCTGAATGAAACTGAACACTCCCCCTCCTCCCTCTAAAAATGATCACTTACAGATGTGTAACGTTAGCAATTAAGCTAGCTAGCTGGATAGCAACGTTAGCTATCACATTTGGGTAACAGTCGTTAGCTAGCTATGTTTTTTATAGATTACATGTAGATTATGATTTATAACAATGAATAATCTACATTCAATTAGGTTAATTTACAAATGTCGCTTCTGTCATAGCAAGCGGCACAAAATAACTGGTCTCTAGTTAATAAAATGTTGATTAACGTTAGCTAGCTAGCCTGTTAGCATTATTGGGACGCAAACTATACCCTTTCTCCGTTGCTTGCTCTGTAGTCGTTAATATGAACCTCTCCAGTGTGTCATTGCCGATATACCAGTCCTCGCACGGTATATGGTTTCTGTTGTGGTACAGTTTAAAATAATAATTCATACAAACACGCACATTTTGCCATATTAATCACGGCCTACTGTCGCCGCCGGACAAAGAGTGCCAGGCAGGAGAGACGCGCATCCGGGAACATTACAACTCAGAGGGAAAGTAGGGTTGACCTAAAACGAGATTTCTTAATTAAAGTCACTTTCTGCATCTAGGTTAACAATAGACGTTATCACACTTCTTAAAAATTTTAGGTGTAGGTTTACTGCTTTCTTTTATGTAATAAATAGCACATATGATATAATGAATTTGTTAATCTCTTGATTAGCACCCCTTTAATTTTAGGTTATGGAGCAGTCTAGAACGGACCACATTCAACGCTGAAGTAGGGATGGACACACATAGACATTACGTTTTACAGTGCTATCCAGAATCCTTCGGACGTCCCTACCCTAAACCCTAACGCTAACCTTAACCTTAACCGTAACTATTACCGTAACCTTAAATTGCAGGAGCCAATTGGATATTGAAGTTGAAATGTCAAATGGTTAAACTTAGTCTACTCTACTGTCCATACATTGAATTAAACACACACACACATATATATATATATATATATATATATATATATATATATATATATATATATATATATATATATATATATATATATGTTGTTCACACCATTTTAAGTGTTCATAATTATTTCTCTGTTTTGATAAATTCTCTTTTTTTGTGGTTAAAATTTGGTTAAAATTTGGGTTCGAATTTTGCAGAAAAGCTGTGCCACCTGGCACCTATGTCATGCAATGCTGCTATGTAGCTTTTTTCATAAGCTACTGTGTATAAATCATAAAACTGCATAAGAATGTCATACAGTGAGGGAAAAAAGTATTTGATCCCCTGCTGATTTTGTACGTTTGCCCACTGACAAAGACATGATCAGTCTATAATTTTAATGGTAGGTTTATTTGAACAGTGAGAGACAGAATAACAACAACAAAATCCAGAAAAATGCATGTCAGAAATGTTATAAATTGATTTGCATTTTAATGAGGGAAATAAGTATTTGACCCCCTCTCAATCAGAAAGATTTCTGGCTCCCAGGTGTCTTTTATACAGGTAACGAGCTGAGATTAGGAGCACACTCTTAAAGGGAGTGCTCCTAATCTCAGTTTGTTACCTGTATAAAAGACACCTGTCCACAGAAGCAATCAATTAATCAGATTCCAAACTCTCCACCATGGACAAGACCAAAGAGCTCTCCAAGGATGTCAGGGACAAGATTGTAGACCTACACAAGGCTGGAATGAGCTACAAGACCATCGCCAAGCAGCTTGGTGAGAAGGTGACAACAGTTGGTGTGATTATTCGCAAATGGAAGAAACACAAAATAACTGTCAATCTCCCTTGGCCTGGGGCTCCATGCAAGATCTCACCTCGTGGAGTTGGAATCAGCCCAGAACTACACGGGAGGATCTTGTCAATGATTTCAAGGCAGCTGGGACCATAGTCACCAAGAAAACAATTGGTAACACACCGTGAAGGACTGAAATCCTGCATCGCCCGCAAGGTCCCCTTGCTCAAGAAAGCACATATACAGGCCCGTCTGAAGTTTGCCAATGAACATCTGAATGATTCAGAGGAGAACTGGGTGAAAGTGTTGTGGTCAGATGAGACCAAAATCGAGCTCTTTGGCATCAACTCAACTCGCCGTGTTTGGAGGAGGAATGCTGCCTATGACCCCAAGAACACCATCCCCACCGTCAAACATGGAGGTGGAAACATTATGCTTTGGGGGTGTTTTTCTGCTAAGGGGACAGGACAACTTCACGGCATCAAAGGGACAATGGACGGGGCCATGTACCGTCAAATCTTGGGTGAGAACCTCCTTCCCTCAGCCAGGGCATTGAAAATGGGTCGTGGATGGGTATTCCAGCATGACAATGACCCAAAACACACGGCCAAGGCAACAAAGGAGTGGCTCAAGAAGAAGCACATTAAGGTCCTGGAGTGGCCTAGCCAGTCTCCAGACCTTAATCCCATAGAAAATCTGTGGAGGGAGCTGAAGGTTCGAGTTGCCAAACGTCAGCCTCGAAACCTTAATGACTTGGAGAAGATCTGCAAAGAGGAGTGGGACAAAATCCCTCCTGAGATGTGTGCAAACCTGGTGGCCAACTACAAGAAACGTCTGACCTCTGTGATTGCCAACAAGGGTTTTGCCACCAAGTACTAAGTCATGTTTTGCAGAGGGGTCAAATACTTATTTCCCTCATTAAAATGCAAATCAATTTATAACATTTTTTACATGAATTTTTCTGGATTTTTTTGTTGTTATTCTGTCTCTCACTGTTCAAATAAACCGACCATTAAATGTATAGACTGATCATGCCTTTGTCAGTGGGCAAACGTACAAAATCAGCAGGGGATCAAATACTTTTTTCCCTCACTGTATATAGGCCTATTCATGATAACTGACTGAGTCTGTTTTTCACTGAGGATTATAGGCCCTAGTTAGCCTGGTCTCATAGACTAGATGTAACATAGTAAAGGTCAATCTGGGACACTCAAATTAGTAGCTCAGTTGGTAGAGCATGGCGCTTGCAACGCCAGGGTTGTGGGTTCGATTCCCACAGGGGGGCCAGTATGAAAAATGTATGCACTCACTAACTGTAAGTCGCTCTGGATAAGAGCGTCTGCTAAATGACTAAAATGTAAAAATGTAAATGTAATGTGACATTTGGTATGGTTACATAAGTCAGAAGGTTACTTTAGGGTTGATGGGTGGGCGTATATATTTCGTACGTCAAGGTTAGGGTTCAGGTGAAGGTTGGGATAAAGTAGGGAGAAATCTTCCAATATAGGCTACAGCAGGCCTTTATTTTGTTATGGGCTATCACGCGAACGTCTAGCAACGCAATTAAAGGTTTTGTGTTCGGATCTCATCACGGACAACTTTAGCATTTTAGCTAAATAGCAACTTTGCAACTACTTACTACTTTTTAGCTACTTTGCAACTACATAGCATGTTAGCTAACCCTTCCCCTAACCCTAACCTTAACAATTTAACATAACTCCAACCTTAACCCCAAACCCTAACCCCTAGCCTAGCTAACGTTAGCCACCTAGCTAACGTTAATGTTAGCCACCTAGCCACAACAAATTTGAAATTCGTAACATATCATATGTTTAGCAAATTTGTAACATATTGTATGAATTGCAATTTGTAACATATCATACAAATTGTAATTCCTAACATATCATACAAAATGGATGATGGACATCCACAAATTAAAACATACCATGCTATGTCATTGTAGTGTCCTGGAGTACATTTACTATGTTACGTCTACCCCTGAGTCCAGGTTGCCCTAGTGAAGACATAACATTGCAAAACAAGTTTGTTGTGGAGGATGAAGTAGCCTATCCTTTGGTCCAGGCTATAAACATCATGGACAAGAAAAATAAAAATAGTTTTCCCATCTTGCATCCATGACATAGGCAGCCAGGATAGTAGACCCCACTAGAAAGAATCACCTCCCACTGTAGGCTAGTCTGTGTTCCTGCTGTGTTCCCCCACCCCTCTTTCCCACCCCTCTCAACTTCTGGCCACAGTCAGTGGGCTACATTGTAAGAATAGACAGCCACAAGATTGGACACTCTGGGAATGGGATCACTAATAAGAACCAAGAAAAACTTTCGATTCTTTCGAGTTTTCCCACTCCAAAGACTTCTCTTCATCCAAAGAGAATAACTCAACATGCAGCTGAATGGAAGAGGAATGACTTAAAGAAAATCACAAATGGGATAAAGTAGGGAGAAATCTTCCAATACAGGCTACAGCAGGCCATTATTTTGTTATAGGCTATCACATGTAGGCTATTTGTTATTTATTTCATTTCGTTTTTACCTTGTGGCCTTTATTAGAAAACGGAATTTAACATGCCTATTACGTTAGCCTAATCAATGTTTTATCGGATTATCAAATGAAAAGTCATATTCTATTTCATTTGGAATTTAAAAAGTAAAAGATAAGCCAGTGAAGGCTTTGGACTACATGCAGAAAATCTCAATAAACAGCCTTGTGTTAAAGCAACGGAAGTATTTTGTGTCAGAATAGCCTACTGTGATTTCTAAAGGTGCGTCTTTGGGGCTGGCACAGTGCATGGCGCATAAAGGTGTTGGACCAAAGAGAGTATTGGCTTTATACAGAGACCATGGCAAAGTGGTTCAGAGAATTCCCCATCAATTTGAAGAACGGTACTGATAGGATCCGCTCCGCTTCAGAATCAGGCTCCCAATCCAGGGGTAAAATTGGACTGGTAGCTGGCATTGGCACCAAAGCAACCAGCTCCAAAGGGAGTCCGCGCAAAAACTCGGGAATGGATAGTAGTGGCGGTGGTGGAGTCGTTGGTGCTCTACTGTCAGGAAGAAATAGGAAAAATTCTGCCATCGAATTGGGAAGGAATGGCACAAGTTCGATAAAGGATGGAAAAGTTTGGGACAGCCTTATAGGTAAAAGTCGCAAAAATTCCAAAGCAGAGTCGCCAGTGTTTGATGAGCACCGGCCACTGAAAAGTTCCAGTTCTGCGAATGCCTACATCAGTCGTCTGATCAAAGTGGATAAGCAGGACAAGAGCCAGAACTTCAGCAGCAGCCAAGTGGTACTCGAAACAGAGAAATCACAGCCACTGTGCAAAACAGAGACGGTAAGTAATGTTGAAGCACTTTAGAAATTGTAGACTATTTCTATTATAAACAGGATGTGATGCTGGACTCAGGGGTAGACCTAACATTGTAAATGTAAATCTGTCTCCCTCCATTTAGTATGATATGTTGCGTTTCGTATGGTGTGTACAATGCCTTCAGAAAGTATTCACCCTTTACCTTTTCCACATTTTGTTGTGTTACAGCCTGAATTTAAAATTTATTAAATTGAGATTTTGTGTCACCGATTTACACACAATACCCCATAGAGTCAAAGCGGAATTTAGTTTGTAGAACATTTTAGAAATTAATAAAAAAATGAAAAGCTGAAATGTCTTGAGTCAATAAGTATTCAACCCATTTGTTATGGCAAGCCTAACTCAATTCGGGAGTAAAAATGTGCTTAACAAATCGCATAATAAGTTGCATGGACTTATTCCGTGTTCAATAATAGTGGTTAACTTGATTTTTGAATAACTACCCCATCTCTGTACTCCACACATATAATAATCTGTAAGGTCCCTCAATCGAGTAGTATAGTCAATTTCAAGCAAAGATTCAATCACAAAGACCAGGGAGGTTTTTTAATGCCTCGCAAAGAAGGGCACCGCTTGGTAAAAAAAAAAGCAGATGCTGAATATCCCCTTGAGCATGGTGAAGTTATTAATTAGGATTTGGATGGTGTATTAATACACCCAGCCACTACTAAGATACAGGCGTCCTTCCTAACTCAGTTGCAGGAGAGGAAGGAAACTGCTCAGGGATTTCACCATAAGGCCAATGGTGATTTTAAAACAGTTACAAAGTTTAATGAGTGGTTGTGATATGAGAAAACTGAGGATGGATCAACAACATTGTAGATACTCCACAATACTAACCTAGAGTGGCTTGCGAAAGTATTCACCCCCTTGACATTTTTCCTATTTTGTTGCCTTACAACCTGGAATTAAAATTGATTTTTTTGGGGGGTTGTATCATTTGATTTACACAACATGCCTACCACTTTGAAGATGCAAAATATTTTTTGGGGTGAAACAAACAAGAAATAAGACAAAAAAACAGGTAAAACTTGAGCGTGCATAACTATTCACCCCCCACCAAAGTCAATACTCTGTAGAGCCACCTTTTGCACCAATTACAGCTGTAAGTCTTGCGGTATGTCTCTATAAGCTTGGCACATCTAGCCACTGGGATTTTGCCCATTCTTCAAGGCAAAACTGCTCCAGCTCCTTCAAGTTGGATGGGTTCCGCTGGTGTACAGCAATCTTTAAGTCATACCACAGATTCTCAATTGGATTGAGGTCTGGGCTTTGACTAGGCCATTCCAAGACATTTAAATGTTTCCCTTTAAACTACTCGAGTGTTGCTTTAGCAGTATGCTTAGGGTCATTGTCCTGCTGGAAGGTGAACCTCCGTCCCAGGCTCAACGTGTTTCCTTATTTTTTTCTTTAAGCAATGGCTTTTTTCTGGCCACTCTTCCATAAAGCCCACTCTGTGGAGTGTATGGCTGAAAGTGGTCCTATGGACAGATACTCCAATCTCCGCTGTGGAGCTTTGTAGCTCCTTCAGGGTTATCTTTGGTTTCTTTGTTGCCTCTCTGATTAATGCCCTCCTTGCCAGGTCCGTGAGTTATGGTGGGCGGCCCTCTCTTGGCAGGTTTGTTGTGGTGCCATATTCTTTCCATTTTTTTATAATGGATTTAATGGTGCTCCATGGGATGTTCAAAGTTTCTGATATTTTTTTATAACCCAACCCTGATCTGTACTTCTCCACAACTTTGTCCCTGACCTGTTTGAAGAGCTCCTTGGTCTTCATGGTGCCGCTTGCTTGGTGGTGCCCCTTGCTTAGTGGTGTTGCAGACTCTGGGGCCTTTCAGAACAGGTGTATATATTCTGAGATCATGTGACAAATCATGTGACACTTAGATTGCACACAGGTGGACTTTATTGAACTAATTATGTGACTTCTGAAGGTAATTGGTTGCACCAGACCTTATTTAGGGGCTTCATAGCAAAGGGGGTGAATACATATGAACGCACCACTTTTCCGTTATTTATAGATTTTTTTTTGTTGAAACAAGTTATTTTTTAAAATTTCTCTTCACCAATTTGGAGTATTTTACATGAAATACAAATAAAGATCCATTTAAATTACAGGTTGTAATGCAACAAAATAGGAAAAACACCAAGGGGGATGAATACTTTTGCAAGGCACTGTACATGACAAAGTGAAAAGAAGGAACCCTGTACAGAATACAAATATTCCAAAACATGCATCAAGTTTGCAATAAGGCACTAAAGTAATACTGCAAAAAGAAATTGGTAAATCACTTTTTGTCCTGAATACCAAGCTTTATGTTTGGGGAAAATCCAATCCAACACATCAGTGAGTACCACTCTTCATATTTTCAAGCATGGTTGTGGCTGCATCATGTTATGGGTATGCTTGTCATCGGCAAGGACTAGGGAGTTTTTTTTGGGATAAAAATAAACGGAATAGGAAAATCTGGTTAAAAGGAATAATGGGCAAATATTGTACAATACATAATGCAAAGCTCTTAGGGACTTACGCAAAAAGACTCACAGCTGTAATCGCCGCCAAAGGTGCTTCTACAAAGTATTGACTCAGGGGTTTGAATACTTATGTAAATTAGATATTTCTGTATTTCATTTTCAATAAATTGGCCCAAAATTCTAAAAACATGTTTTGACTTTGTCATTGTGGGGTATTGTGTGTAGATGGGTGAGAAAAAAAATATTTAATCCATTTTGAATTCAGGCTGTAACACAACAAAATGTGGAATAAGTCAAGAGGTATAAATACTTTCTGAAGGCACTGTATTAATTTGTGGATGTCCATCATCCATTTTGCATGATATATAACTAATTGCAATTTGTACAATATGTTACGAATTGGCAAAACAAATGATATGTTGCGAATTCCAATTTGTTGTGGCTAATGTTAGCTAGGTGGTTAGGGTTAGGGGTTAAGGTTAGGGTTACGGTTTAGATTAGGAGTTAGGTTAATGGGTTAAGGTCAGGGTTAAGGGAGGGTTAGCTAACATGCTAAGTAGTTATAAAGTAGATAAAATGCTAAAGTTATCCGTGATGAGATTTGAACATACAACCTTTGGGTTGCTAGACATTTGTGTTATATGGTCACCCATCCACCCCTACCAACCACCCTCCTTTCGTTTTTGCCTTAAGTAACCTTCTGTCTTATGTAGCCATACCAAACTTAGCATATCATACTAATTAGACTGTCCCGGATTTACATTTACTATGTTACGCCTAGTCTATGAGGCCAGGCTGGATTTATAGAGGTAATCAAATCAAATCAAATATTATTTGTCACATGCTTCATAAACAACAGGTGTAGACTAACAGTGAAATGCTTACTTAAGGGGCCCTTCCCAACAATGCAGAGAGAAAAAAATAGAAATAATAGAAAAATAATAACACAATGAATAAATACACAATGAGTAACGATAACTTGGCTATATACACAGGGTACTATTACCGAGTTGATGTGCAGGGGTACGAGGTAATTGAGGTAGATATGTACATATAGGTAGGGATAAAGTGACTAGGCAACAGGATAGATAATAAACAGCAGCGTATGTGATGAGTCAAAATAGTTAGTGCAAAAAGGGTCAATGCAGATAGTCCGGGTGGCTATTATAACTAACTATTTAGCAGTCTCATTTCTTGGGGGTAGAAGCTATTCAGGGTCCTGTTGGTTCCTGACTTGGTGCAGTAGGAGAGAGAACAGTCTACGACTTGGGTGGCTGGAGTCTTTGACCATTTTTAGGGCCTTCCTCTGACACCGCCTGGTATAGAGGTCCTGGATGGCAGGGAGCTCGGACCCAGAATGATGCTAATGATAAATGCTAATAATACATTTGATAATTAGTCTTTATTTGTTTGTTTGTTTAGCTTGCAATACGTTTTATTATGGGGGTATAGGCCTATATAGCAGTAATTGTATGAGGGCCGGGGTGTATAATGACTACAAATTCAAAGTATAAACTTGAACTTCATTTGAATGACTCTCAATCAATGAATGAAGCATAACTATTATATTATATTAACAGCCATGATTATTATAAGCCATGATTATTATAAGCCATGATTTAATAGTAGGCTGCAACAGGAATCCTACTCAAAAATAATACTGTTGACACTGAAAAGCAAAGGAACGGTCGAAGCTGTGAAAGTTGATATCATTGTTTCAGTTTTCCTCCCTCCCCTTTGTCTCTGAATCTCATTGTATCCACTCTTCCTTGTCTGCCTCTCTTTCCCTTCCTTTCCATCTCCCTCTCAATTCAATTCAATTAAATTAAATTCAAAGGGCTTTATTGGCATGGGAAACATATGTTTACAAGTGAAATAGATAATAAACCAAAGTGAAATAAACAATACAAAATGAACGGTAAACATTACACTCACAAAAGTTCTAAAGGAATAGAGACATTTCAAAGGTCATATTCTCACCCCTATTGAAAGTTACCCCTCCCATCCCCTCTGTTCCTGGCGCAGTGTTCCCCCTCTCTCACCCCTCTGCCTCCACCTCATCCTTCTCTTTTCTCTCTTTCAAGCCCCAGGTGAAGGCTATCATGTTGTAAAAAGCATTGTGTGCTAATCCAGGTCCCCTCTGGCTAGGCTTTGAAAAAATAAAAGCGAGAGAAAACGATGTAGCGAGATGGTGTGAAAAAAAGAGATAAAAGAGGGAGGAGAAATAGAGAGTTTTGAGGGGTAAATCCCTTCCCTCGCCTGTTTGCCCCAGTCGCTGGGGTTGTCATTCTGTTGTCAATCTGACTGTCTTTGTTTGGCTTATGAAAAGGGGAATATCTCTCAGGGGCCTCAGAGGAAGCTACATTTTTGCAGCATTTCCATTATAAGACTTTATCCCAGTGTTTGGCATAAAGACAGACTTTTGTGTTTCCACTTATGAGGTCCCCAAAATATCTACTATGGCCCCAAAAAGACCTAACCTGACATGGGGCTGACTGAGGAACTCAGGGCCTGATCAGCTGTAGCCTATATATAATTTTGCTTATCCTACACACCATATTGTGGTCAGGTCACAGGAAGTGCTAAAGCGTGTGCGTGTGTGAGCGAGAGAGCGACAGAGATTGTGTCTGCGTGTGTTGTTTGTTGGAGTTGTCCCTAAAAGTGCTAAAGCCATCACCAGTTGAATCAGATTTGGCATACTCTGTGCTATTAGATCCTGGTAGAAAGATGAGTGGACGAATTGGGGTCTAAAGATGTAGGATCTTAATTTGATCACTCTTTTGTTGATGAGAATTTTCCTTGCACAGGAGGAAATGCAAATTTGTAGTGTATTCAAGTTTTTAAAAGGCTTCTAAAGTTTGTTATTTCCACTTTAACATTTCAGACTTGATTTGCCCTAACATAAAATGTTTCATTCCCTACTAATGATTTCCATTAATTATAATCCACATAATAATTCACATTTCCTGTTGCTACAGGATTATTTTCCTGCTGTAGAAAACTGGCTCAAATTAAGACCCAGTCATTGTCATTTACCATCATCCTGCTTGTAAGGGAACATAACTAGAGATTACTTTATCTTGTTCACCAGCCACTATATGCAGTATCAATTGAGCCTGGGGGTGAGGTTAGAGATGACTGAACAATAACATTTATTACACCAAAACGACCCCCTGTACAGACACTGACCTGGTATCTAGTATCTGGCAGTGAGATAAACTTGAAAGGCCTTGACCCTAATAAAAAGACAGAGCAGAGCAGTCAAGTGTGAATTAATTTATTTTGCAATGGTGCTATTTAACAGATACTGTAGGTGTTGTTGTTAGGATAATGGATCTGGGACAAAGAACATGCAACAATGATACCGCTGTACTTTTTTTTAACATTGACAATAGATGGGCCTGATTGGGTACTGCTTTGTATCACTGATGATATATCTATTTTTGATCTCTTTGGGAAGCAGGGCAAAAAAACAAAAAACCCATGACGTCTCTTTGTTGTTATCTCACCTTTTTCTTTCCCTCTAGTGAATCATACTTCTACTTTGTGGGCACAGATTAAGACTAGTCTTGGACTAAAAAGCACGCTCAATGGATAATCTCCATTGAAATAGTTTTTTAAATCTAGGACTAGACTTAATATGTGTCTGGGAAACCAGCCCAGAGTCCTTTAGTAATTATCATGCGTATTCATTTTGCTGTGCTCCTTTGCTTCAGGTGATCATTCTTGAGGACTATGCAGATCCCTTTGACGCCCACAAGACTCGGGAGGAGAGGGATGCGGAGAGAGAGGGGGAGAATGATGGATACATGGAGCCTTACGACGCGCAGCAGATGATCACTGGTGAGACACACTATTCATTATTTTAGCCTACTCAAATTTGGATAACAAGCATAGATTTTGGATCAGGTCCCAGCTTTGAGGATGTGGTAATCTGATCTGATATCAGTGGCCAGGAAAGTTTGTGCCTGTTTTTTCTATTGTTGTTCGTATGCATGTTTTTTGTCTTAGGCCTATGTGTGATAAACTTCTTAGTCTGGTGTTTGTTTGTGCAGGCATGTGCCAGGCCTCATTGGCTGAATTCTATGTATGTGTGTTTGGACTGCCATTTTCAGTCTAGCCAGAAAAGAGCGATTAGAAATGTTGAAGTACGTGAACTCAATCGCCTAGCACTGTACCCCATGGAGGTTGCTATGGCAACTGTGTTGTGCTAGGACAATGGGTGCAGTTTCCTGTCTCTGCTTCCTTTTTCCTGTCTCTGTTTCCTGGTACTTTCCTGGTACTCCCCCCCCCCCCCCCCCCCCCCCCCCCCGCCCTCCCCTCAGAGCCCCTGCATGGCCCCCTATATGGGCAGGCTCTGACCATTTCTCAAAACCTCCCAGCATCCAGGAAGACAACTGGTCAGTCAACCAATCACTTGTTCTCTTGACCACCTTTGATTCCGTCACTTCATTGTTTTACCCATAATGGTACAATACCCTGCTGTGACACTGAAAATGACCTGTTACACACTAATCATCAAGGCTTTACTAATATATATCTTACTACCTGGCTAAGTTGGGAAAGCCCGTTTATAGTGCCCTGGGGGATATGGCCGACCGCAGATAACTCAATTTTAGTAGCGTGTCATACTTAAGTACATTCTCATATTGAAGTGGTGCAGGAACAGATGTCACCAGTGCGTTGTGACATACAGTATTATACAGTGTTTAAGTATTTTGGGACAGTCCAAGCTCAGCACATAATGTTTTGGCATTGACAGTATACAACAACTGACATCACTCATAACTCAATTGCTCAACACAGTTCAAAGCTCATTTACACTTATTACATTATTATTTATTACATTGTATAAACACATCATGTTTTCTCTATTCCTCATTGTTGCACTGACCATAATTGGTAGTTCTGTTCTAGGATCAGTTAACCGCCATTTATCAGATACTGATATGGATGTGTGAGGCAAAAATACTTGCCTAGGATCAGTTGTCTGGGAATGGTAGCTACAGCTGTTGCCTGAAATGTTGGGTCGGACACACCGTGATGACGAATGGCTAAAAGCTGGGTGCCGGTGAACGGTGGCTCTTTGCACTGATTCAACATGTAGAATCATCTGAAAATGAACAAAAAATGGCGGCCAATATTCTTGTCAGAGGCACTCTGGTGTGTTTCCTCTCTAACAAGAGTCACTGCTTTTTTTAACAGAGATCAGACGGAGGGGTTCCAAGGACCTGCTGAAGATGTGTGTCCTGCTGGAGGGGGTTGAGGGGGAGGTGGATGAGGGGCGACCCGTGCCCCCCCAGATCTACGACATGACCTATGAGGGTGGTGTGGAGGGCGATGGAGGGAGCGGGAAGACCCCGGTCACCAGGCCAGAGTTAGACCCCCGGCCCCCAGCTGAGTACCAGCTGCCCTGGGAGCGGAAGAAGGAACAGATTGTCAAGGCTCTGCCCGGTACTATAGTCTAGAGAAGAGACAAGACCTACTGCACAATCATACACAATTCTAGCACACTACCACTGGCTATACAGCTATGCAACCCCTATCACAACTATCTACTGATGCAATGATGCATCGATTAAGTGCCTGACCCCTCAAGCTCTAAGGTCTATAACGTAATTAGACATTCTAAACCAGTACACACGCCACAACAGATCAATCAATATCAATATACAGTATTTGCTACACAGAAGTTGACCACCCCCTTCATATATTTTCTCCCTCTGCTCTGACCCCTCCTCGTCCCCAGCCCAGTTCGACAGCCCTGAGCGCCCCTCCCCAACCAAAGAGGACCCCCCCACCCTCACCCTCACACGGCAGCCCCAGCAGCAGCACCAACAGCAGCAGCAGCATCTGCGACAAAAGAGCTGGAGTCAGAAGATCCTGAAGTCCTCTCCCACCTTCTTGCCCTCCCTCTCCTCCCCGCCCAGCATCGGCCCTGAGGCTGAGGTGTGCCGGGTGGACCCCACCGTGCCCCTGGAGAAACAGAGGTGAGGTGGGGGAGACAGGGTTTATAGGTCAACGGCAGGGACAGATGCAATAGATTGTTGCTTTAAAAAACACTTATCTTTAGTTTTTTCTGCAGCACATAACAATACATTAAATATGTAGATATGTACCTGTCACTCTCTCCATGTACTGGTAGGGGAGAGTGGGGTAAGTTGAGTCATTTTTACATTCAACATCACTATATCAAGAGAAATATAGTGTTCTTTCTAACAAAGATATCTACATATACAGTACCAGTCAAAAGTTTGGACACACCTACTCATTCAATGGTTTTTCTTAATTTTTTTTACTATTTTCTACATTGTAGAATAATAGTGAAGACATCAAAACTATGAAATAACACATATGGAATCATGTAGTAACCCAAAAAGTGTTAAACAAATCTAAATATATTTTATATTTGAGATTCTTCAAATAAATCAAATCAAATGTTATTTGCCACATGCGCCGAATACAACAGGTGTGTAGACCTTACAGTGAAATGCTTACTTACAAGCCCTTAACCAACAATGCAGTTTTTAAGTAAAAAAATTAATAATGTTAAGTAAAAAATAGATAAGTAAAAATAGCAAATAATTAAAGAGCAGCAGTAAAATACAAATAACAGTAAGGAGGCTATATACAGGGGGTACCGGTACAGAGTCAATGTGTGGGGGAATCGGTTAGTCTAGGTAATATGTACATGTGGGTAGAATTAAAGTGACTATGCATAAATAATAAACAGAGTAGCAGCAGCGTAAAAGAGGGGGTTGGGGTGGGGTGGGGGCTGCAATGCAAATAGTCAGGGTAGCCATGATTAGCTGTTCAGGAGTCTTATGGCTTGAGGGTAGAAGCTATTAAGAAGCCTATTGGACCTAGACTTGGCGCTCCGGTACCACTTGCCTAGGGTGGCTGGAGTCTTTGACAATTTTTAGGGCTTTCCTCTGACACCGCCTGGTATAGAGGTCTAGGTAATATAGCCTCCTTACATGTGGTCCTCTGTAGCTCAGCTGATAGAGCACGGCGCTTGTAACGCCAAGGTAGTGGGTTCGATCCCCGGGACCACCCATACACAAAAATGTATGCACGCATGACTGTAAGTCGCTTTGGATAAAAGCGTCTGCTAAATGGCATATTATTATTATTATTATAGGTCCTGGATGGCAGGAAGCTAGGCCCCAGTGATGTACTGGGCCGTGCGCACTACCCTCTGTAGTGCCTTGCGGTCGGAGGCCGAGCAGTTGCCATACCAGGCGGTGATGCAACCAGTCAGGATGCTCTTGATTGTGCAGCCGTTTAATTTTTTAGGATCTGAGGACCCATGCCAAATCTTTTCAGTCTCCTGAGGGGGAATAGGCTTTGTCGTGCCCTCTTCACGACTGTCTTGGTGTGTTTGGATCATGATAGTTTGTTGGTGATGTGGAAACCAAGGAACTTGAAGCTCTCAACCTGTTCCACTACAGCCCCGTCGATGAGAATGGGGGTTTGCTCAGTCCGCTTTTTTATCCTGTAGTCCACAATCACCTCCTTTGTCTTGATGACATAGTGAATGGAAAAATGGCAATCTTCGTGTAAATAAAAAATGTTTTTGAAGACAATCATGGTACCAATAATTTATTCTAATACACCAGATGTATGTAATTGAACCAACTATTTTAAAATTGCACACAGAATAAGTTTAGTTGGTAATTTCAGCCTGCAGTACCCCAGTTGGCCTTCAACTAGAGTTACTCAATTAGAAGAGGCAGCACTGAGCTAGCCTGCAACGGCACTTCCTGGAGTAGGTCAAACTGTGCATGTTATCTTTCCATGAGACGCCATTTTAACCAAATTCATTTGGCATCAATGCACTATTGAGTCTTCACATAGGAATGAATGGTGTCACGTGATGGCTTTGTCCATTCATATATACATTTACATCTACATTTACATTTACGTCATTTAGCAGACGCTCTTCTCCAGAGCGACTTACAAATAGGTGCATTCACCTTATAGCCAGTGGGATAACCACTTTATACAGTAAACTAACCCTTTAGCTCAACCTACCCCACTCTCCCCAATACCTTGCAGAGTTACCTTATGTTGTTCAGATATTCTATTGTTGATATTAGTGAACCACTTCAATACAGGATTCATCTACTATTTTGTAAGGCCTTTGTACTTTGTTAGCTCCATGTGCTCAGGAGACTTTCCTCCAGCTCCTCTCATTTCTGACCCCTGTGCCTTCCCTTCCCTCTGTCCCTCGGTTGCTCTAGCTGGTACCATGGCTGTGTAACACGCCAGGAGGCAGAGTCTCAGCTCCAGTCCTGCAAAGAGGCCAGTTTCCTGGTGAGGAACAGCGAATCAGGAACCAGCAAATACTCCATTGCTCTCAAGTGAGTATACTAGTCACTAGTACATCTGTACATTCTCTTCAGAGCTGATACCATACTTAATGAGTCAAAAAATCATCACAAATTGTACATTGCCTTGCCGTTGATGCATTGGATCCTTTTATGCTAATTTAAGGCTACATAATATGAATTGTGTGGAATAACAAGCCAGTGTTTGAATTTGAGATTTCAATTAAAGTAATCGATCCTTTTTACCTCTCTACCTTTGTTTATTCCCTCTCTCTCAGGACAAGCCAGGGCTGTGTTCACATCATTGTTGCCCAGACTAAGGAGAATGGCTACACACTGGACCAGAGTAGCTGTGTGTTTCCCAGCATTCCAGAGGTGGTGCACCACTACGGCACTCAGCGGCTGCCTTTCAACGGGGCCGAGCACATGACCCTACTGCACCCCGTGCCACGCCCTTACTGACTCCACCCCCACCACACTCAGGTGTACCCCGACAACTCCATGCCTCTGCATCTGCATGAAATCATCCTCAACGAATATCTCCAATCTAATGCCGGCCCCCAACAGCCTCAATACGTATATCTCTTTATCTATCGTCATTCACTCTTCAGTCCCTTTCTCTTTCATATTATTTTAGTCGATATCATTAGGATTTTTTTTCAGTCTTATTTTCTCCTGGATAAACAAAAGACAGACATGCTGAGAGACCTGGGTCCAGGAGATATTGCTCTTGCTGTACAATCATTCCCTCACCTTTCATATGCAGCTAATGCAAAACGCCCAGGCTACTGTTTTGCATGTGAACTTGGGAGAACCTCAACCCATGCCTTGATTGTACAAACGGGGCAGAAATGAATGATCAAATTAGTCAGAGCCATGCCAGTTAGAATCTAGTCAGAATACAGTATCATTAATCATAATTTGTCATTAAATGGTTTAAGCTGCAAAGGGATACAGCTAGTCAACTGTACACAACTCTGTGGAGAACCACAACTGCTGTATAGGACAAAGACTATTATAAGGAAAAGGGGGATACCTAGTCAGTTTTACAACTGAATGCATTCAACTGAAATGTGTCTTCTTCATTTAACCCAACCCCTCTGAATCAGAGATATGCGGTGGGTGGGGGCTGCCTTAATCGACATCCACGTCATCGGTGCCCAGGGAGCAGTGGGTTAACTGCCTTGCTCAGGGGCAGAACAACATATTTTTACCTTGTCATCTTGGGGATTCGATCCAGCAACCTTTCGGTTACTGGCCCAACGCTATACAACACTGTACAAAGACTACTTCACGTCTACGCTCACAGCAAACATTTAAGTTATGCTCTTAGCCTTCTTTTTTACATAAAGAAGAGATATCCTCCCGTAACCCAATTTTCCTCGTCTTATCTACTGTACAGTGAACAGTGACAGTTGTGTGACTATGTGTACCACCTGCACTGTGAACCATTGAGTGATTCACCCTAATGCAATGTGCAATGGGTTAGGCTAGCGTCTCCCTATGGGATTCAATATCCCTTGATTATTACATTAAACCACAGGCTCCCAATCCTGGTCTTCAAGTACCCACGTGTATGCTGGTTTTCACCTCATATGATCTCTGCATCATTAATATAATTGTTGATTGACCACTGATATGACTGGTTAGATTTTTGTGGTCTGTCACTGTAAAACCCTGACCATGGCCAATTTGCCTACAGTCAGTGACAGTAGGACTGAGCATCAACAACAAGTTAAGATGTTGTTGGAAAGCTGATGGAGTTTTTCTATGTGTAAACTACTGACTGAAACAAACCAAGAAACAAAAGACTTGATTTAGATGCACAGCGCTATGGAATATGACTGAAAATGTGTCAACAGACCCCATGTTAATTTCTAATGTAAATTGGTGAGATATTTGGTGAAAAATAATCTGATGTTTGATCTGTGGTTTACTTGTCACATTGCACCCCCTGGTGCTAACAAATGGACCAACCAAATAAAAATAAAAACGTTATCTCGCTCACCAGCCGGCTCTCTGCAATTCGAGCCTGGGGACGAGGTTAGATACTATGTAACCCTAGATAATGACTTGTGTGTACTCGTTATGAAAAGATATGCTGATACCATTGTCAATCCTACTTTTTCTTTTGGTGTGTATGTAGAGACCTGCTATTGAAGCAAGAATTAGTTGATGTTACTGATTTAAATAAAATGTCCTTAGATAGTCCATGGTTGTTTACCTATATACTGAGGACATTAGTAGTCTCTCTTTCTTTTGTTATTATTCGTGGAACGTACATGTAGGAATCTCAAATGATTATTATACACTTGGTTAAATAGCCAACGTCTAGTTGCTATTATTGACAGCTCTGATTGACATGTTTAATTGACATTGCTAGTGAAACATTCCCCTGTGGGGTTGTATATGTTCCGCCCACCTTTTCCTACTCAAGGCTCTGATGAAGGTGAACTACGCCGAAACAAATGCCTGTTTGTTTGTCCCGTTAATAAATCAATCAGATCTATGCAGAAACAGAGTGCTCCTTTTTCTTTATTTCCCTGGATAGTCACCCGTTGAAGTGTCCTGAGGTAACGAATGTTTTTGGATTAAGTGGTCTGCGTTTGGATTTTACTGCTTTAAAAGCAGATAAGATGTGAAGAAAGTCATGCTGTATGGCAGGGTTCTTCAATTCCGGTCATGGAGGGCCGAAACACCTCTGTTTTTCATCCTCTCCTTCTAATCAGGGGCTAATTCAGACCTGGGACACCAGGTGAGTGCAATTAACTACCAGGTAGAAATAAAAAACAGAAGTGTTTCGGCCCTCCAGGACCGGAATTGAAGAACCCTGCTGTATGGCATCAAGATGTTGTGGTAGTAATGTATGCGGCCACAAGGAGGCGTGCTACGGGATTCTCTAGGACAGTACAGGCAACTCTAGACATTTCGAACCAAATGTACACAGTTTATTAGTGTCTAAAGTTTTGTCTGTAAACGTTTAAAAGATCATAGGCATATTGTAATATAATCTGCATAATTTAATGAATAGAGCTATTTAGATGTTGCCCACTTACTGTATTTCCCACACCAACTCTCTGTAGGCCTTTGTATACCCTTGCCCAATCACTGCTGCTGTCTATGTCGTTGAAAAATGTATAACTTTGTCAGTATCAGGTGGGCTGCAGAGTGCATTAAATCGGTCAGCTTTCAAGCAGCTTCTATTGCCATATTTAAATGTGTAGTTCAGAGTGTAAAGGGAAAAAGTCTGGGGATAGATTGGGTGTAGCATGGACTCAGCAGAGTGAGGATCTGGTGTAGGGTTGGGCCTGGGGCAAACAGTTAAGGTAGACGTTAAGAGCAGGGGCACCCAGGCCACTTGCGTAGACATCCTTACACCCAGTGGTATCAGAGATACTTAACTCCCCCTCTCCCTTACCTTTATCACTCAATCACTGTGATATCTGATAATCTATCAACAGGAACACCTTGTCTTATTGAGAGGACATTCCATATGTGTTGGTCCTGAGTCAGGTTAACGTGAACATTGAGATGGTTAGAGTTTCAAGTCTGCTTGTGAATGCAAGTCCTGGGACCTGAGGTTAGGTGCACTATTCCTGAAAGAAACACAGACTAAGCACAATGTTTTTCTATACACTTACAGTAGTTGTACCTCAGTTGTCTGTTACCTCAATTGTCAGCATTCTAATAATAATATAATATATGCAATTTAGCAGACACTTTGACCCAAAGCAACTGACAGTTATGCGTGCATACATTTTTGACATATGGGTGGTCCCAGGAATCGAACCCACTATCCTGGCGTTGCAAGAGCCATGCTCTACCAACTGAACTACAGAGGACCACATCTTAGAAAATCATACATCTAGCTAGTTCAGGTTAACCTCAAAAAGAAGGTAAGGCAACCGAAGCACTTAAAATAAAATAAATCAATACAGCAGTTATGGTCCTAAATTGTCGTGGTCATTGAGTCCTTTGGTAACCATGACAGTGCACAACTCAAGAGGCCTTAAGAGACATCATCGTGTTTTATCAAGATGGACTACTTACACGTCATCAAGGTATGCCTTTTTAAACTCTACTTGAGTGATACAATAAGATAAGCACTAGATATACAGTAGGACGTGGTCTTAGTCTAGAGCGGTTGTTGGGCTACAGTTGGATGAATATACAGGATACAGAATATCTATTTTCTTTGTGTTTGATACCGTCTTTCCCTCATGCTATCTCAGCCCCTCCGGCTCCTCAGGCTTGCGTGACAGACAGGACCGTCTGACTGTGACTCTGATGGACGGGCCAGTTTGTCATCTTGTTGTCGCTTGACCTGGCCCGCGGGTAACCGAAGTGTCCCTGTCCTCCTTATCTGCCTGTGCTGTCTGCTTCCCCAGTGACACGACCAGGCTCTGTGTCCCACTTCTCCTTACCTTACCCTTGCTGGCCCAGCCATGGGTGTCTCATAAATGCTGAGTGAAAGGTCCTGGCCAAGGTCAAATGTGTATTTGATACAAGTATTTTGTATGAGGAGCTGGTTCAGTTGTTTCGGTTTGTAAATAGCTAGGCAATCGCTCTGTGTGTCCAAGAGATGTACCGTAAAACTTAAATTAATAGCCCAGGTGTTTATTTGCTTCAATCACTGAACACAACCGGCGTTTATTAGAGACAGGCTTCTATTTGAGCCAGGATTCCATTTCCTTAATGCACACAGCTTTTGCCCAATAACATTGTGAAAAGACTACCACACTGTTTATTGTGACCAGGATGACCAGTATAAACATCCATCACAGATCAGACTTGCAATGACTAGATGCCTATCATACACCCCCGATTTCTCGCTTCAGTACCATTCTCTCACTCGTTGCGCTTCTTGTATCCACCGTAGTTGCGTTGACCATGTCAAACCACACTGCTGTCTCATCCATGGCAATGATGTTGCTCTCCTCTCACTGGGCACACACTGGTTGAATCAACGTTGTTTCCACGTCATCTCAATGAAATTACGTTGAACCAACGTGAAATTGACGTTGAATTGACGTCTGTGCCCAGTGATCTGTATCTTCTTTTGCGCAATCTTTACCGTACTCCCTGAAGTTCACTCATAAACAATTCATTTAGACCCAGCGTTTATTTGAAACAAGCATTTCTTTGTTAAACTGTGTGCCGATGCCCGGCTATTAAAAGGGACAGGCGGCTATTTAGACTCAGCGTTTAATTGACGTTTTACGATATTACTCAACTTATCACTTGTAGATTAAGAAATATGTGTCCTATACCCAATTACAGTGTCTCCTGACATCAAAGTGGTTGACTAAGGTATATTATGATCAAAGTAAATCTGTCAATTCTGTGTTATGTAAGTGTCCATCCTCATCTAACAGACAATGACTTGATGCTACATTCTCCAGAGCCTGCATTTGAGTGTACTGCTACGCTTCACCTATAGTGATATCATACCTTTGAGGCTA